TATGGAAGCTAGCCTACATAGTAGCTTTTGGCTGGGGGGAGTTAGACATAATAAATTTAGCAATAAGCCTGTGCGAAAGGGGACATGCCCCAAAGCTCCCTGAAACCCTGTATGATTTAAGAGCCTCCCAGCTGAGTGGGAAGCAATAGCTCCCATTTAGATAGGGCTTTGCATAGCAAATGCAGCATGTGAAGAAATCTAATCAGCACCTTGCACTCCTGCGCGAGCATTTACACGGATTTGTGCCTTGCACTTGATTAGCTTACTGCAAGCTTTACAAGAGATTCCCTCCACCAAAATTAATCAAAAGCTCTTGGAGAAGGCTTTCCATTTACAAGAGAAGTCAAGATGAGCTTCCAGGTGAATAAATAATGATCATAATAATGATGACAGCAGCAGCAAACATTGAGCTGCTCTGAAACTGGGCTGGGGGACAGGGGACGGTGGAGAGTTAGGGCTGGAATCTCTCTGTAGCTCTCTGAGGGAAAAGCGGGAGCTATTTTCTTAGTTAGCCTAAGTAAGGCTGCTGTTGGGAAACGTGACCATGTTCTCTCTCCGCTGCTCCTGGCCTCAAGTGCACACACGCGACCACTCACTGCCCCACACACACCACGGGTGGAACATCAAGGAACACCTGGCCTCTCTCCGCAACACCACCAGCCACCCCCTAACACACACACACACACACACACACACACACAATCGCTGTAAATCCACGTCGCCCATGGCTAATGCATTTCATCTCATCCTGCAATAAAAAAAAAAAATGTGACTTCTAAAGTTTTTATTTTATGACGCCAGAAGGTGAAAGGAAGGAGGGAGAAAGGGAAGGCTTCGGATGTCAAAGGGAGGAAAGGCAAAATTTCCCCTTTACTTGAAATCCTCTCTCTCTCTCTTTCACACACACACACACACACACACACACACACACACACATTCAGATTTGCTTTCCTGCACCACCTAAACGAGGTGGGCGAGTGGGAGTGAGTTCCTCTCATTTTTAAAAGATGCAAAATAAGGCTGAGAGAGAGAGAGAGAGAGGGTGAAGGTGAGGAGGTGAGGGTGGGAGTGAGTGAAATCCATGCATCACCCCCCCACACACACACACACACACACACGGAGGAATACTAAAGCCCCTGAATCCACATTCTCCATTTCCAGCACGCTACAGGAGGAGGCCCCAGCTGGGGCCGAGGGTTCTCCTCCATCCCCAGCGGAGCCCCACCTCCCTGCCCAGCTGCCCGCCGCTGGCAGAGACGCCCCACGGGTCCCCCTGACCTGCCTGGAGAGCTCTGCGCGCCAGGTGCCCATCCCCAGGATCTCCAACTTCGCCTCCCTCCCACTTTCGCTCGGATCCGGCGAGCGGCTGGAAGGCGCCGCCGAGGCGCGGGAGCTCCGCGGCGGGGCTTGGAAGGGGCGGAGGGTTGGGGGCGCGCGTTACCTGCGGAGATGCTCCAGGTCTGCTCCGGGCCCCGCTGGTCATCGGGCTCAGCGCCGCGTCCTCCCCCAGATCCAAACTTTTGCCGGGTCCTCCGGGTGGCGGCGGCGGCGACGGTGGCGGCTGCCGGAGCCCGGGCTGCTCGCCCGCAGCGTCGAGGCGCGGGGGTGCGGAGGCCGGAGCCTCAGGGCGGCCGGAGCCCCTGCGCCCCGCTCGCCTAGCTCGCTCTCGCCTGTGTCGGCTACGGGGCCGCGGCATCGTCCCCCCCCGTCCTCCGCCACCTCCGCCTCCAGGGCTCGGGCATGCCACTCTCTCTCGGCCCCGGCCCCGCGGCCCCCGCCTGCCCGCCTCCCCTGCCTCCCCCGCCTCCCCCTCTCCGCCTCCGCCGAGCCACGAGTGCCGGGAGCAGCGGAGCGAGCGGGGAAGGCAGCGGCGAGAGAGAACCCGCAGCGCCGGGGCTCCCCAGGGGCGGAGGACCTCGAGGGGCGGCCGGAGAGGCCGGCGGGCGCGCCCGGGGCGCCTGGAGGAGCGGCGGGGAGCCGGGAGCCCGGAGCCCGGAGCGGGGAGCCCGGAGCGGGGAGCCCGGAGCGGGGCTGCGCGGGGCCGCGCGGGGGCGGGCGCGGGGCTCGCTGCGAGGGCTGCGCCCGCCCGGCGTGGGTCCCGAGGCTGCTCCCACCTCACTGCTGCCGGGGTCGGACGCAGCCGGGCTAATGTAGACGCCGCGGCCCCCACCCCCACCCCCACCCCCGCCGCCACCCCCGGGAGATGTTTACAGTAATGAATTCGCGGGACGGCCGGCGCGGCTCCCGCGCTCCTCCTCGCGCTCCGTCCCTCGCGCTCTGGCGCGCTCCCCAACTCGAGCCCTCTTTCTCTGTCCCCTCCTTCCCTCCCTCCCTCCCTCTCGGAGTCCCTCCCACATTTCTGCTTTAAAGAATGCTTGGGAGGCGCGGCTGCAACCCTAAGCTTTCCGAGAGGCAAAGTCAGACTCTGGCTTTTAACCCTCTCCCCCCCGAGCGGAGGTGCAGAGCGCCTGGGCCAGCGCCGCGGAGGCCACCCCGACCGCGCACGCCCGGCCTCTCCAGCCGGCGCCACCCGACCCCCCACTCTTAGGGCCCGCGCCACCGCCCGCCGCGGCTGTACTTCCAAGCCGCAGCATCTATTACTTAGACCCCCGAGAAAGGATCGAAACGTGAATTTGGAGAGTCAAAATACAGCAAGTCTCTCAACCCAAGATGGCGTTATTTTAACTGGAGGCCACCCTGGTGATCTGCGCCCCCCCCCCCACACCTCCCCACACACCCTATATCACCCGTTGAGTCCCTGATCCCGGACCTTAGGAAATAACTTTAATTGGAAAAAGAATCCGAAGTTTAACGTGATTATTCTGAACACCTATTTTCTCCCTTCACTCTGGCTGCTGGAAAAAAAAAAAAAGAAAAGAAAAGAAAGGTTGTTCACCCCCCCCACTCCCCCCCCCCCCAGATTACAACGGACAACTAAATTCACCCTCAAAGATTCAGGAAACAGACTTGACAGCCAAAGGAGGCTGATCTGTATACAGGCAACGTTTCCACTTCGCAATCTCTTTGCAAAGGTTAAAGAGCAATGTAAGAAAACCAGGTGCACGTCTCTTTCTTGGAAAACATATTTTAAAAGGTTCTGGTTTTCTCCTCTCGTCGCGTTGCCGCGCCTCCTGCCTCCAGTAAGTTGCTGTCATGTTTTAACAAGTCTGCGGAGAGGCCGCGTGTGAACAGAAGAGGGAGAGCGAGCTCGCGCCAAGGTCCAGGCTGCGCCCAGGCGCGCCGTCGGTGAGGCCGCGCGAGAAGCAAGCCGCGAGCCTCACACCAGCCGGGGGCCAACTCTCCGGGGACACGCGGCGTCGTCGCCGTCCAAGAGTTGGGCAGGGGCGGTGCCCACCACGGGGCTCTGGAGGATTTCCCCGTCCTCAGTGCAAAGCCTGAGTCACTTGGCACCACTTTCCCAATTGTTTTTATTTCCTTCGCATCCCTGTTGTGTCTACCACCTTCGCGTATTTGAGCGCCTTAGTCGTGTTAAAAACGACTTGGAGAAACGCCCCAGATGCCTCCCAAGCACAAGCCACGCACGGATCCACCCAGACGCACGGCCGGGACGCACGCTGGCACACGCTCTCACACGCGCGCGCGCACACACACACACACACACACACGACCTGGGTTCGTGCCCGCGGGTCGCTGGTCCTGGTGCATTAGGCAAAGTGGCCAGGAAAATACTTTGATTTACATCTACAGAGCCGCTCCTGCCCCCAAACGCAGTGCGTGACTAACAGATATCCGGAGGAGGAGGGGGCGCGCGGCGGGAGAAGTTAATGGGACTGGGACAGACGTGGAGGGCCATCTTGCTGGGAGGTTCCAGGAGCGAGGCGCCAGCGACGACAGCCACGGTGGCCTCCACCTCCACCAGCAGCTGCTGCCGCTGGCCGGAGCCCCACGCGATCCAAGAGTTTCCAGGGCGTCCAGTGAGAGTCCAGGCGGCCCCAGTCACCCTCTTCCCCCCCGTACTTAATTATCCCCGGTTAACACCCCGACCCCGACCGGCAACCTTGATCTCCGGCCCGATTAGGAATGAGAAGTGACCGCGCTGGCGCTGAAGGCGCGGAGACGAGCCCGGGACCGGTCAGCGCGGCGGAGGGATCTTTCCAGGCGATCCGGGGCCCGCGCGGGGACGGGATGGCAGCTCTGCTCCCGCCCTCCTCGCCGCCGCCAGGCCCCCGGCTCTGGGGCGCGGGTGGGCGGGGGACGGGCGCTTTCCGCCCCCTCTCCGCGGCGGGCGCACGCGGCTCCGCGGCCGCAGCCCGACTCCAGCCCCGCGAGCCGCCTGCGCCTCCATCGCCCCCCGCGGGCGCGCCGGGAGGGCGCGCGCGCGCGCGGGCCGGGGCTCAGGGCAGGGCCCCTGAAGCCCAGCTAGGGCTGGAGAAAGACTTGGTTTTGGAAAAAGTAGCCCTCTCCCCAACTCGAAGGAAAACGCAAGGGCATCCTCCCGCATCTCCTGAGCCAGGAATCGATCCAGGATTGCGGGCAGGAGGCGGGCTGGTGGCTTTAGGTGCAACCGCTTGATAGTATCGGTGACATTATCTGATATTATCGGCAGATGGAGTGAGCGCGGGGGTGGGGGACAGGGGGGTGTCACTCCTAGAAGTTACGGTGTTCATTCTGGGCAAGTGAGACGCTGAATACCAGCAAGCTCAAGAAACCCCAGTTTGGGATCCATCCCCCCCCCCCGCTCCCCCCAAGCCGACTGGCAACAGTGCGTTTTGCCCCAGAGCTCAGTTACAAAACTCTTGAGGGAAGAGGTGAATTCTACTTGCAGACAGCCCTCCCTGAAGTCCAGCGGAGAGTTAAGCAGCCTATGCTCTTTCTGGAGGAAAGAAAAAGCCAAAACCATCCCGTCGCGATGACCACCTTAAGCTGATTCAAAAAAAAAAAAAAAAAAAAAAAAAAAAGAATTGTCTATCTGACCCCAACCGCGCAGCAGCAGCCCCGGCGGTTACTGGAAACGCCCCCTGGCACCCCCGTCCCTTTACCTGGAGGCCGCCGTGTCTCCTCGCAGTGCGTTCATCCGAATCCGACCGGGTCGGGGAGGTGGAAAGGGAAGAAGCTGGCGCGGCAGCAGCGGGGCTCCCGGGGCATGGTATTGTTTTAGGGGTCACCGCCAAGGTCCCTCCTGCCCATCGTTGAGAACCGCCGACCTGATCCCGGGTCTGGGTGGACACGGCGGCGGGCGCAGCTGCTCAGACACCCCGGGCGGAGGCGGCGCAGCGCCTTGGGGCGGAGACCGGGGGCCCCCCCGATGGGCTCCGAGCGCTCCTTCTTCCGCGGCCACCACGGGAGATGCCCAGCTCGCCAAGTGACAGCGACAGGTTTCGAACGTACAACTAACTACAAGGTACCCAGCCCCAGACTGTAAGCTGCCTGCCCCCTCCCCCTTGTCTCCCTCCTACCGGGGAGGGAACTAAATTAACCCTGTGCGCGCCCTGCACTCCCCGGCGAAGCTGGAAGCGGCTGGGAAACCGCGAGCGGCGGCTCCCAGGGCGAGCGCTTTGTTCACGTGCGTTTCCAGCGGGCGTGTTGCTGTCTGGGGGCACTCGCGTGGCGAGACGCCAGGGGCAGGCTTCCAGCGCCAGACTCCGGCATGGGAAGGAGCCCTCGCTAGCGTTTCATCCGGACCAGACCCAGCCCTCGAAATCTATTTTTTGCCTCCAGTTACCAGATTTATTGAAGTTGCCAGCAAAGTTGGGTCTTATTCCTTTATTTCTTCCTCTCTCCCGTCCCTCCCTTTCCCCTACCCCCCTCCTCCCCACCCCGGTATTATTTCCTTTCCTAGCGGTGCTTTGAAGATGTGGAACTCTCGGCTCATTTCTAAATCTAGCTTATAACCGTTCTTTTGCGTGTGCCAGACGGATGGTGGAGGGGACCCGTGCACCCAGGCAAAATTTAGACGAAACCGCAGGGAAAGCTGTCTCCCACCCACTCACCCGGTGTGGGCAGCGGCAAATGACCACAGATTCAGATAAGACCAAGACTTACCCGGAAGATAGGGAGGGGGCGGGTTATGAGCTGTGAATGGCGAGATGGGAGAGAGAGAGAGAGAGAGAGAGAGAGAGAGGAGAGAGAGAGAGAAAGCGCCTTAGAATGGGATAAACAGGGGAAACACAGACAAGAATGATGATGCAGAAAATAGATCTGAATCCCAAGACTGAAAAAAGCAGGTCAGCTTTAAGTGCCTAGATTTTGATCGACAATATTCCTCAGCTCCTTTGAAAGCAGAATGAATGAATGAATGAATGAATGATGAATGAGTGATTCAAACAAATTTTTTTTAATGAGCAAGAAAGTGAATGCTCAAGGCTCTGCCTTGGCTCCCCAGATGCTTTGCATTTTGTAAACAGCTTTGTCGAAGTGCTCAGGACTCCCAAGAAGTTAACGGGAGTTGGAGGCGAGTCATCTCCATAGACGTGGAATGGAAGCTTCGGCCAGAGAAACTGACAGCCAGACGCCTCTGCTGTCACCGTCACACCCTAATGAGCCAGAACTTCGCCCACAGTGCAAACTCAGACAATCTTCAACAGATTCCCTTTTTCTCCAGCTCCCTCTGGACGAAAGAAAGAAAGAAAGAAAGAAAGAAAGAAAGAAAGAAAGAAAGAAAGAAAAAAGGAAGTCTTTAAAAATCGTTTAGAGGGTAACACGTGGATCTTGCGAAAACTGAGTTATTTTTAAAAGAAAAAAAAATGTGTTTCTCCAGAGGATAGATGTTCTAAGTTCTCTCTGCAGCATACGCAAGCCAATGGGAATCTGTAATAGCCATTTCCAACGCCTCCAGGAGCCAGGCCGGCCCACAGAGGCAGTAGGAACAGTTTCCAGCCGGCCTGGTGCAGAATTTCGTTGTAAATCCTTTTAGTTTGCCAAGGTGGCAGCAAAGCATAGGGAGAGCTTGTCAAGCTGCAGAATAAACACTGAAGACCACATTTTAGGGCAAATACTCATCTACCTGCTTTTAAATAGTCGTCTTCATGTTGTGTAAGTGTCCCTGAGTACCCACAGGAGGTTCTTTCTTTGAAATCTTGATCTGAGATGCCATTATCATGATTTCATATGAAAGAATACTTTTTGGTTTAATAGAAAATGGAACTCTGCACAGGTTTTGCTTTCTGATTTATGCTACCAGAAAGTGAGTGAGATTGAGAAAGTGAGATGAGGTGGCTGCAGATGTACACAATTTGTGTTTTAGATTATTGCTGTCTATAAATTAGAAGGACACACTATCGTGGGGCTGTGCTCCCTACCCAAGGCTCTTGATGGGATGACTGTAATCAGGACAAGGAAAATTAAGTACAGAAAAACATCACATCAAACATATGAACAGAATAACTGTAACAATTTTCTTAGCCACATGACGGGTAAGTCAGCTTTAGAAATGTGTGATGGCATAGCCCCAGGAAGCAAAAGAGGAGTAAATGTGGTACAGGGGCTCCAGAGTGTAAGAATTTGGCAGATTCACAAAACTGTTATTTTATTTTTATTAAGACACCATCGCTAAGGCAAAAGGGTAGAAGAGTAGAGAAATGAAAAGCAAATCTGTGGCCTTCAAAAAACGGAACATCATGAGGCATCTGGATGGCTCAGTCAAGTTGTGTGTCTGACTCTTAATTTCCACTCAGGCCATCATCTCAGGGTCCTGAGAAACGGTCCCCTGTGGGGTTCTATGCTCAGTGCGGAGTCTGCTTGAGGTACTCACTCTCTCTCCCTCAGCCCCTGCCCCACTTGTGCATGCTGTCTCTCTCTCACATAAACAAACAAACAAAAAAACAAATAAATAAATAAATAAATAAATAAATACATACATATATACATACATAAATAAATACCAGAAAGTTAAAAAACAAACAAACAGGAAGTTAGTTCCTTTGCTATTCTTTGGAATTCATTCCTCTATAGAGTTTTCAGGTCAGCTGAAACTTGGCTGCCATCTCAAATCTTTTAGGGCCTCCTCTCCATGTTTTTTACACTCCCCCCATCTATACATGGCATGTACGTTGGCCTGTGTTTCTAATACTGTCTGGAAGTAAAGATAACACAGGATTTGGGTTTTTAAGATCGTGGCTTAAGCCCAAGGCCCTGAAAATTTTGATCTTGGGTAAGTTTGGCTCTGAGCCACTGTTTACTCGTTAATAAAATGGGCATAAAAATACCTGTTCTACCAGCCTCATAATATTGTCACATCATGAGTCAGTGCATGGGAAAGTGCTTTAGAAATTTCAGTTGTTATTCGGTTATTGCTAACAATATTATCATTGCATCACACGGTCCCAGCCTTCAAAACATTGGAAAGTTACATCAACCTGAACAGTTTCCCCTAATGCTATCATCTTACATTGCCTTGGAACATTTATCAAAACAAAGAAACCAACATCGCTACGTGGCTATTAGCCAAACTCCAGGTTTTATTGGTATATCATCAGTTTTTCCACTAGTATCCCTCTTCTGTTTCAGGATCCCATCTAGGATACCACATTGCCTTTAGTCATCATATCTCCTGTGCTCTGTGATGATTCCTCAATCTTTCCTTGTTTTTAATGACCCTGGGAGTTTTGAAGAATAATGGTCATGTATTTTGTCTTTCCATTTGGGTTTGTCTGATTCGACTCTAGTTCCGGGCTTGGGGAAAAAATACCAGGGAAGTGGAGTGCTGTTCTCATCTCATCGTGGCAGGTGGTGCATGATATTGGTATGATGTCACTGATGAAAACATCATCACTCTCTAAGGAATTGTGTGCAAGATTTCTCCACTATAAAGTTATCTGTCCTTTTCCATACTCTGTTCTTTGGAAGTGAGTCACTGAGTCCTGCTGACCCTCATGAATTTAGATTTTTAAATGCACAGAATAAGCCCTTAGTGCAACTCATTAACAGCCCAAATATTGAACTCACCCAGGAATAATCTCCCAGGAAATTCCTCCTGTATTCTATAACCTTAGAAAATTGTTCAACTATCTCCTCTTGGCTGTGTATTATGAACCCATCTTGACTACTCCATGCTTACAGTCCCCAAACCCAGTCTCCAAATCCCGTTGGACTCTTTTCTGAAATGTCTCCTACCTTTCTATTTCTCATTGTCACATCTGATTGGTTTAGAATTCCAACTTTCCTACAAAAAGATGACATCCATGACTTCTGATCCTTTCCTCCTTTTCATCATTTTCTAATAGTTTGGAGTTCATTTCATTCACCTTCCAAGGGAAAATAGTGATATACTAGTTTGTCTCTGGATTAGTCTAAGGGTCTCAAATAATTTAGTTGGTCTTGTCTTTCTTTTAGGTAAATATTTGAAGCATGCATGTTGACTTCATTAATAAGCTTCTGTAGCAACTAGAAACCCAACCTTTCTTCTAGAGAGCCACTGTAAGAAAATCCACGGTTAACACACTGTGCATAGATGGCTATTCATTTCTCTCATGAGTGTAAAATATTCCTTAAGCTTTTTTTTTTTTCTGTGAGTGTGGTGTGATTCATGTGACTCTGTGACATTGAAATACATACTCTTCTGGTTTTGAAACATAAGATACAGTTTATCCAACAAACATTTGTAGAAAACACAAAATATGTGGCAGAACCTTGATAAATAGACTTAGTCCCTATTCTATCAAAACTCTCAGTGTAGTAGAGAAACACTACTAAATAGTTAAATAATTTACACTCATTAGGTAAATTAAACACCTTGGATACATGCAAAGCACGTTAATATCCTAAAACAGATTCTCTATAGAGGGAAAGTCTCTCCCAAGTGATGAGGAGGCTTTCTTGATAATGTACTGATTTTTATAGGGGAATTGTGACATTATTTTTACTTCCAGCCTTCTGCATACAGCAACCCCAGGAACCAACCTGAGACCTCTGTCTCAGGGAAATCTCTTTGGGCCAAGAATTGGAAAAATCAGTTAGAAGTAATTGCTTGCATATCCATTTCCCTTAAGCCTTGGTTTCTTTGCCTCTCCATGCTGGTTACAAGACGATTATGCGTGAACAAAAACAGAAGGTACACACTGACAGGAAACAAAAGCACGTTAAACCATGGAGATTTCCTCATACATAAACCTGCCATTTGTCAAGCACTTGCTCTCTGTTCCAAAGGGAAGCTGGCAAAAACTCGAAGTGAACATTCTCCAACAGCACTGGGGAAGAGTAAGTGAGGGAAATGCCCTTTTCAAAAAGGGTATATGGTTGATGTAAAGATGTAAGCCATTTTAAGAAGAGATGAAAGATCTACCCAGAGAGTAGATCTTTGGAATCTGGGTGCTACAATTGTAGTACATGTTTCTGAGCCTGACTATAGTTCTGATGAAGAAGGAAGTGCCATTTAATCTGAGAAAACATACTTAATTGAGTATAAAATATTCCGAATTAGAATATATATATCTAATACAAATAATAAATATACATAATTTCCCACTATATTACATACATACATATGCACATTTATGTATATATATGTGTGTACATATGCAATTCCTACTGTTTATTGATATATTAGAAAAATAAAATTGCATTCTTTAAAAGGTCAGAGAGAGTTTTCAAGTCTGAAAACTCTCTTTCATAAGAACAAATACTACATCAGTTTAGCTATGTGTAGTTGCAAAGGGCCTGAAATTGGCCTTGGATGGTG